GCCGCCGTCGTCTTCCTCCGCCTGGCGGCTATGGCCGCTTGCCCTCTTCAACCCGGGCTCTCCTGCTGACCACCTGTGACTCAACGCACAAGTCACTCAAGCAGCGCTTCCACGTAGTTTGTCTCAGAATCAGTGAATGACTGATCGCTGACTCTATATTTATACTGTTTCGTTTGGTGGCCTGGGCCTGCCCGATGCCCCAGGCCCTAAAGATGTGCAGTCCCACTCTGGTACTTGCCGCAAAACCGACTGGACTGGGACCGCCTTTCATGTGCCCCTTCGCGGTTGACTTGGGACTCTTGACCTTTCAGAGATTTGACGGGCTGCCTCTACCGACTTCGAGAGGTCAAGCTGACTCTTCGAGACCTAACCTAGTCACGACCTACTGACCTTTCGGAGGACGTACTATGGCCAGTTTTAACCTTTCGAAAGGTCCACTGTAAACTTGCCTTTTCGGGTTTGGCGACAGACGGGGGTCTATATATTGTTTAGAAGTTTTAGGGTTGTCAGTAGGTCTATATATTGTGAAGCGCAGGTCTATATATTGTGAAGCCCGGGTCGTGTGGATTTGATCCGTAGGTCTATATATTGTTTAGAAGTCTTAGGGTCGTCCGTAGGTCTATATATTGTTTAGAAGTCTCACCTACGGACGACCCTAAGACTTCTAAACAATATATAGACCTACGGATCAAATCCACACGACCCGGGCTTCACACACAAGGCGTTTCGTTTATACACGGGTTTGGCGACAGGTCGGGGGTTCAAGGACAGGTTTGGCGACAGGTCAACGAACAACACAAACGTACTGTACAGTTGGTTGGGGAAAGTCGGGGGATCAAGCCCCGGTATCTGCAATTGTTGCACGAACTGGGTGAAACCCTTTCAATGTAATGAACCTGTCTGTTGTGCTGTTGCCACACCGTGTCACACTGGACAACGGGCAAGGGCAAGGAAAGTGCACACCAAAGTGGACACCACAAAGCGAAATGCACAGTCTCTCAAAGTAGACAACAACAAAAACTTGCAGTGCGGGATGTCAGATTTAAAAAATCCCCCTCATGGGCGGCGCATTCCACCGCCCCACCTTCGGACCGTCAACCCCAAGATCCACCGATCTTACCCGGCAAATCGTGGCGGCGGTCATCCACAGCTATCGAAAGGTCAGCTGGGGATGACTGCCTCGGACAGGTCTGCTGAAAGATAGGAAAAATGTATCAAACTATCCTAATATATATTATCGCTACTCCTAACAATAGCCAATTTGAAGGTTCGAGAAAAACAAGTCTAGCCCTTCAAAGCAAAATGGCGTACAAAGCGAGCACCTAGCGGTTAATTCCCAGACCGGCCCCTCCCTGGCAGCAAAATTACCCAGGACCTTCACAAACAAGTCTACCAGGAGCCCCTTCCTCTGGTAAACCTTTTTTTTTTTTTTTGTTTTTTTTTTTTTTTACAAGAAACAACCTGAGTGAGTGGTAGGGGTGAAAGCATGACCTGGCATGGTATTTTTTCACAGATTGTGGAGCTCCTTTGCATCCTATGGAGCCAACCTGTAATCGCGGCAGCCTTTTGGCGGCGAATGGAACATAATACAAAGTCTTGCCCAGCCTTGATACCAAGTTCCGGCCCAAATTTGAGGTCCGCCTCATTGCGGACCCTCTGGAAAGTACCCACGATTCCGCCACGAAAGGTTGTGGCTCACGTAATTTGTGGCTCACGCAACCCAAGAATTCCCAACAAACACTGGACAGACCATACCCTCTATCCGCTGCTAGTTCAAATAACCCTTTTTTTGTTTTTGGGGAAGGTAGTGAAAGGCAAAAAGAATTTGAGAGAAGAACAGTGTA